TCCGATTAGCGCCCGTGAGGATTGACCGCGACCGTGTTGTCCAGAAGAAATCACATTGAATGGCAGGGGCACCAACTAATGGAAGGGATGAGCTCTCAATATTGAATTATGTATGAGCAGAAAAGGAGCTCTCTGGACAAACACAGTATTTTCTCGCCTGCAGCTATCAGCTTATAGTCACAAATTCCTGTGGTGCCAAGCAGATTGCCCTGTCACAGGCGCAAAACCCAATGCAAAGCTATCCCTTGGGGGCAATTCACTCACGAGTTCTATCCTCAACACATCTACTGCAATTCATGTCAAAGTGAGGGGTTCTACTACCAGTTCTACAGCTTGCAAGGCGACCGGACTGCTCATCACAGCGCTTGATCATGGAGCCTGGACATGTAAGCGCGCAAGCTATCTCATCTACGCGGGCTCGGGAATTTGAAATAGGGGGGAGGTAGGACCTCTCTATCAAATTGCCACAGACGTCTGGGTGACCGCGGTGGTGGGGTGCGGGTGTAACACCCATACGTCTGGGTACGAGACCAGCGCTCTGGCAAACATCGAGCAATTTCCGACATTAGGGGAGGTCAGAGTGCGCGATTCTGAAGCGATTCTCCAAGCAATTCTGAGGCGATTCTTGATATCTGAATCGTGTCGAAATCGCGGCCTACTCTGACCACCCCATACCGAAGGAAGATTCTGGGAACGATTATGGTCGCGATTCTGGGGAGGATTTTGGGGGAGGCAGAATCGCGGACAGCAGAATCGCGATTCTGGAGGGCAGAAGCTCCTCCGGAGGAGCTTCTGCGATTCTGCGCGATTCTGCCAAAATCGCGATTCTGAGAACAAAATCACCTCCAGAATCGTCCTCCAGAATCGTCCCAGAATTGCCCCGTAATCGTGCACTCTGACCACCCCTATTACTAGTATCGGTGCTTCCACAGGCGCTTGGTCCGATCCCGAGGACACCCCTCATTCGCATCACCAATTACAGACATGCTACCATTGGTACCGCCGAATTAGCAGCATCTGGCTAGGCCAGTGTTGCAGTCCGCTGCCAGGATGTGGGCTTACCTTCAGCTTCACCGAATATTGGTTTCTATACAGTGATTGGGAGTCCGCTACCAATCTGATGCGATACGGGACATATCAGCTTCTTTCGCGTGCTTCCAAGCAATCCGGCCTACATCATGTTGAAATGACAGCTCTCCCGTCCCCCAAGACGCTCCTTGTAAGTTTTGTAGTTCATTCCTCTGATATGCGTCTGACGTTACTTCTAAGTTCCATCTAGCTATGAGCACAGGTAATCGATTACGACGCTACCCATTCAATTGTCTCGTCATCCAGACGTCCCAGTCGATCTACCGCACGTCATTCTTCGTGCCACTCTACATACAGCCCATGGGCTTTGTCAGATATTCCTTGGGCTTCGCAATACAATCAAAGACAGATGAAGGCGAGAGAGACGGTAGACGAAAGACATAACCGTGGAGCCATCCATTTCACCGACTCCGTCGGCGACAGCTGTTGCAGCTTGTCAATAGAGAATGGACAATCAAACAACTGTAGCGCATATACAACACCTCGATGTAGCATTGGCCTGGGAGTATGTAAATATCGTCCGGGACCGCGGTGGTAGACCAGTGCCCAACTAGTCAGCACTGCAGTACTCCAAGTCAATCCTAACATTCGCGCCATGAAGTTTACTCTTGCCGCCGCCTTCATCTCCACCGTCTTCCTCAGCGTCACCGCTCTTCCCGCAGCCGAGGCGGCCCGTCTCCAAGTGCGTGTAACAGTACATCCCATTTTGATTCTAACACGCTCATGACTGAATCTAGCGTCGCACATGTGACTACCCTACCGTACCTCTCCTCCGTGCTTTCGATCCTTCGCTTACGGACCACTTCTATACCACGAACACCGTTGAGATGAACAACGCGGTGACCCAGGGTTATGACCAAGAGGGCAATGCGGCCACAGTTCATCCAGACCAAACCCCGATCACCGTCCCGCTCTACCGCCTCTACAGCCCCTCCATCACGGATCACTTCTACACCACCTCGGCCAGCGAGCGCGACAACGCCGCCCAGAACGGTTACACCATCGAGGGCATCACCGCTTATGTGTACGAGACACAGCTGTGCGGTACGGTGCCGCTGTACAGGCTGTTCGACCCCTCGGGCGGGGACCACTTCTACACGACCAGCGCGGCTGAGAGGGACAATGCGGTCAACAGCTTGTATTACGCTTATGAGGGTATTGCGGCCTATGTTAACCCCCAGCCCTGATGTGAGTTGTGCTGCTGCAGGCTTCCACGTCTTGCTTTGACCAAACACGGTTGCCCCTTCCAGCCCGTGACCAACTTGTCTTAGAGCTGTGTAAATCTATACCCGCAGTGTTAGCATATTGGACTATTCGATGATAGTATAGTCGATCGGATACAGCGCGCTGCTGACGAGTTGTTAAGGAGTGCTGCTTGGTGATAGGCAAAAGGAGGCGTATCGCATGACTCATTATAGGAGCTACTGGCATCCCAGTGGAGACCCTAAACGATATTGGATAAGTCGACGACTAAGTTACCGGCGTTGAAACGGGGATCAGCAAAGGCCGTACAAGTAGTACCAATTAAGCTTAGCTTTCTTCCTCACAGATCAGCCTTTCTAGTACTGCGCTTTCTAGGTGCATGTTCAAATCGATCCTGGGTTGTTCCTTCAGATAGCGCGCCTAAGCCTCCATGAAAGTTGTGCTTCCGCATTTAAGATGTCGGTCCGAAGTGGCGATGGGAAGCATCCTGATCGCGACGAGGGATTAGTACAGGAGTCACGCGTCAGACATTCAGCTGACACAGAGTCGACGTACCTGCTAGCGGTTCTCGGGGTTACCGTGATGGAGGGAAGGAGGTACGCACCCATAACAGCATGTCGTATGGCCGTGCCACGTTGACACGGCGAGGAGTCTAAGCAAACCGAATTCGTGTTTGAGAGTGTCGACGAATAGGCAAGGACCGGAGATTGAGCCGGTGGCCAACCAAGACGGCTTGAATGGTGTTGGAATACTGGAAAAGATGCTTCTAGAAGCCGGAGAACACTGCGTGTATCGTTTGCGTAGAAATCCACGGGAGGATCAATTGAATACACCTAGGCTTCATGAACCTCGAAATGATACAGAAACCGCCTGACTAATCATACAAACGACAAGACACCGCGCTTTCCCCCTGGACCGGGATCTCTGAACCTGTTCGTCCGCCCTACGCCTGCTTGGACTTTCACAAAGGTGGACACACGTGGGTGATGGACTGAACGGGATAGCCGGATATCCATCCATCTCGGGGCTTGAGGCTTTCGGAGACCTGGACGAGAACGAACGGGTCGCAAGAACGCGGGACAGAAGGAGAGCAGCATTCCCTCCAGAGCGGTGGGATGCAGCGGCATTTGTGGGGGGAGAAGAACCTTGAAAGTTCCGAGCCGAAGCGAATTACTGATACCGAGACCGAGGCACGCGATGTGCACCTGGGAACCACCACGCCAGAAGATGCGACAACGCGACAACATTCGAATCCCGGTGGTGACACGTCTCCTGGACGCCAGCCCCGGACAGACCAAGTTGCCATCGATGTCCCTTCCGGTAGACACCTCAACACAACAGCCCAAACCAGGTGCACGACAGATCTCCAAAGATTGTCTCCCGTGCGGCAAGATTCGCACGAAGAGGCAAAGAAACTGAATCGATACTGGGGCAAGACACCATGACCACCTCATGGTAGATGTCTCTTCTCTTCTTCGTCTATCGGCGCACGCGTTTCTGAGTTCGGTGCATCTAGCGTGCATGCGTGCGTGCGCCGATGGACTCTCAAAGCTCCATAGGATGGACGGCGCTACCGTGCGCGTCCTTGAGCGCGTCGCCCGTCATCTGCCCGATCTTCATGAAAGCGTCCAAGAGCGCGGGCACGACGAACGGCTGCTTGCACTCCCTCGTGGTGTCCTTCACCATCGTCTCGAGCTCCGCACGCCGCACACGCTCCGCTCGGAGCAGCGCGTCCTGGACCCTGCAGTTTTGTTGCTCGCGGCCTAATTCCTCACGTAAAGCTGTTGTATTGAGATTGAGTTGAGGATGTCGAGATTACGTTGTGAGCGTCGGGCGGCGGTTGTGGACGCGCATATATGCGGCGATCATGAGAACGCACATAAGTAGGTGGAGGTTAGGCAACACGTCACCATCCAGACATGAAGATAATCAGTACGTACCAGCAATTTCGTCCTCGAGTGCACGAACGCGCTGTTCTGACACATACGGATTGCTGCCCTCTTTCGGCGGTACCGGCTGCCCTGCCCGCCGCAACTCCAACTCCAAGTCACTTTCTTGGGCTTGGAGTGCCGAGATCTGCCGGCGGACGTCCCATAGTTCCCTTGTGGCAGCGTGCACGGCAGGTCCCCGCGGAGGAGCAGAGGGCGTCGTAGAATGCGGTCTCGAGCCAGAAGCACCGATGCTAGCAGGCCTACTGGCGAGCACGCTGGATGGAGACGCGAGTGACGTGAACGCGTTCGTGGCAGCAGGCATGGAAAGCTGGGTGCCCAGCGAGCTGATCGAAGAAGGGGTAAAAACAGCCGGGGTCGCCTGCGCGTTGGACATTGGAACCGGACTCGCTCCGGACACATGAAGGCTCGGCTTGGCCGGCAGGCCATTGTTCTGCGCAGATAAGAATGCCTGTGCGCTGGAACTCTTCACGCCCGCTTTCTCGAGCAGCGCCTGCAGATTAGAGAATTGTGGCTGCGTAGACGGAGCTGCGGTGGGGCGTGGAGGCAAAGACAAATCAGGTGGAGGGGCAGGTTCCATCTTGACGGTGGTCTGTCCAAGATTTGTCATCAAATGAGACGCGAGGCGACAGGGTGGCTGGGTGTCAGACTCACGGGCGTAGATTGACCTCGCTGCAGAAGTGACTGCAAGGCGGAGGACTGGCTCAACTGAGCAAGGGCCTGCTGAGTCACATCGATCACACTGTTAGATGACGTGTCACTGCCGTTCGCAAAGGGGGGCGTGCGCGCGCCCATATAGTGCATATCAACGTCTCTTACGCTGTGGTCAGCGTAGTAGCTGGACGAGCCAGCGCTGTAGCCGGAAGGCTCAATACCAGCAATACGTTGGGACAACGGTGTGACGCCCTTCCGAGCCTGGGATATAGTGGTGGGATACTTGGGTGCCTTTCCGAAAGGTTTGACATCTTGAATTTGGTGGTTACCGAAGCCGAAGGCTGGTTTGTTGTGTGGCTTTGGTTTGTATGGCTTATGTGCGAGGGACGTGGTATGCATCACGCCACTGAGAGCAACACAGTCAGAACACATTACGGCGTAAACTGACCTTTAGCAGAAGTACCGACGTACTCTTCGTTCAGAGATATGTATCGACTAGGCAAGGCAATGAGGGACGGTGCGTGGGAATGCAACGAGGGGACTACAAGCTTACATGGAGCGATCCATCAACGAGGCCGCCTCAGCCTTAGCCTTCATGAAAGCGTTCTGGATCATACGATGTATGTCCTGATGAGGAGAAATATTTTCAGCACAAACGGTGAGCCGATGCGTGCGATGTCTACGCACGCTGTCCCTGTCAACATGCCAGACACATAGCATAAAGCCAGATTTCTCAATGGGCTTTTGCTCATGAGGCACTGGGAAGCCGAAGACTTCAAGGTCATCGATCAGACCTTTGGTATAGTCCGCAGCCTGATCCTCTCGCAACAAGAGACGAGCTCGTTCCCCGACGTATTGCACACGGACGACGAGCTTCATGCGCAAGTGAAATGTCGCTTTGAAAATCAGTTAAGCCTAGGGTGCAAGGTGAGACGATGAGACGAAAGTTGGAGAAACGCGTAAGCGAAGAGTGAGGCACAAAGGGAGAAACAGAAACCGAAAGTGGGTAAGCGCTGTCCTGGCTCGTGTACATTGACCGCTAGCGCACGTGACCCGCTGTATCCGAATAGCCACGAGCGCGTCGCTCGGCCAGACGCGTCTGCGGCAGAGTGTCTTACCTTCTACCGCGTCTCGCTCCCTCTAGCCGTCCTAATGGCCGATATCTCCTCAGCACTGCAGCATGCGGTCTCAGAATCCACAGAATACGAGATAGTAAAGTCTCACTTAGCTATGCTTCTTCTGTCTTACCCCCCTCCTTTCATCTATGTCCACGATCCGGATAACGTCCGACTAACCACGGCCGCCATCCGTTCGACTCTGTCCCACCTCGTGTCGGAAGCCACAGACGTACCGAACCTCAAGTACGCCTGTGTGGACGCCGTGGCATGTTTCTCTCCGAGGATCCTCTTTGATACTGCGCTCAACGCGCTCGCAGGCTGGACACCTGACTGGCGAGATGGCGCGCAGAACTGGGAAGGGCCTGCTGGCGCCGAGACTAGAAGGTACAACGAGAACTTCGACGCCTTTGTCCATGGGCTGCAAGCTATCTCCTCGGGCGTGTCTGCGTCCACGTCGTCAACGAGCGGGATGGGTGGTGAGGGGAAGAGCAAGGCGAGGGCGGAGGAGCGTGCCCCGGCTGGCGAGAGGATGGTTTTGATTGTTGAGCGCGCGGAGCGTCTTAAAGACAATCTGCCTGACCTGGTCGTTCCTCTCACCAGATTGGCCGAGATGGTGAGTATCGCTGACTATTCGGGTGCCTGGAGTGATCTGGAGTGGTTATATTCCTTGTATGGATATTGACGCCTCGCGCCTAGTCTCAGGTGGAGATCACGACCATCTTCGTCTCTGAAGTACAATGGCAAAACATTCGGCCCTCACTGCGCGCGTCGCCAGAACCCTACTACATTGACGTCCCGCGTCTCTCGAAGCAAGGTGAGCCGTACACAGCGTGTGAGCACATGCACGGAACCTCACATTCTCCTCAGCTACCATTGACCTGTTGGCATCCTCCTTCCCACCGGCTATCCCAGAATCCTCGACCTCGCGCGCAACACACGTGGCTGCGTACCACCCTTCGCTCAAGCCACTCTACGCGCACTTCCTCGCGTCGGTCTACAGTATCTGCGGCCCATTCACTCACGACCCCCTCGAGCTCAGCTACATCGCCGCAGCGCGCTGGCCAGGCTTCGTCCAGCCCATCCTCGACGCGCATCGTCAGCAGCTCCAAGAAGACGCGGAAAGCGCGACTGCCGCCGACGCCGACGATCCGGATGCCGAAGGCGACCTCGAAGACCCGCACGAGATCCCGCCCGTCGACGAGGACGCGCGCATCCGTCTCCTCCGCCTCTTCACCCCCTCACTCACTGCCGCTCTCGACACCCTCTACCCCCGGCTCACCAACGCGGCACACTGGGCGCGCGTGCACGCTCCGCCCCCCGACCTCCTCACCATCCACCTCGGACATGCCCCAGAGGCACTCGTCGCACAAGCAGCTGCAAACGCCGCAAGCATAAGCGCAAGCGCCCCAGGGCTGACGGAAGCCGGTATCGACGCGCTCCCGCGCATGGCCAAGTTCGTGCTCGTCGCGGCCTTCGTCGCGAGCACGAACCCCGCGCGGAGCGATCTGCGCATGTTCGGCCGCGGGCTGGACGAGCGCGCGAAGCGGCGCAGGCGCAAGGCGGGGACCCCGCGGAAGCCGAAGCCGGGCACGACGGGCACGGCGGTGAAGCTGCCGCAGAGGCTGCTGGGGCCGCTGGCGTTCCCGCTGGACCGGATGATCGCGATATTGGGCGTGCTGCTCGAGGAGAACGACGCAGATACGCGGCCGGTTGCGCCCCAGTATACGTTGCCGGGGGAGTATACGGAGATGGAGATCGCGAGGGTGGCGGTGTATGCAAACGTATGTCCTTTTCGTTCTCTCGTGGAGGTGGCGGCAGAGGTTGATCATCTTGATTTGGACAGATCGCGGAGCTGGCGAGTATGCGGCTACTTGTGCGGATATCCCCCGTTGATAGTCTAGACCGCACGCCTACATTCAAGTGTGGCATTGGGTACGACCTCGCCACAAAACTTGCTCGCAGCATAGGAATCATGCTGAACGATTTAGTATACGAGGCGTTGTAACGACAGCTATCAGAAGCTCACCTCGTTGAATGCGAACTGCGGCGTCTGAGATTGACTTCATGAATGTATATTGCTCTACGATCATACGCCCATGAACAGAATGACAATTGCGGCGTGTCGAGGCGCTACTGGGGCGTACTACGGTGGCGCATCTCGGGTTGCATAATGAGGCGGCCCTTCTTCAACGATTCTCTCCACTGACCCTGTCCGTCTTGTCTTATACCCCCTCGCGTTATAAAAGACACGACCGTGGTGGTAGCTACAAGTAAAGACAACCTACCACTGCTCACTTTCGATTGCGTTCACCCCGCTCTCCCATGGCTTCTGTTTCATCATCCCGCTCTTCTCCTATTGGAAAGCTGCCAGTGGATGTCTTCGACTCGATATTATCTATCTTAAACGAAGAAGATAGAGACACGCTGAAGAATTGCTCTTCGGTGACGAAACAATGGCACGATCGTTGTGTCCGAATCATCTTCTCATCCCTTGACATCAACAACAAGAATACGAACGCGTTTCCCGCCTTCCAGACCTGGCTCAGCATCAACGTCGACGCTGCGGCCGTGGTCAAGACCCTCAGAATTTGGAAACTTCCGGTTGAGATAGACGTTGACCAGCTGGCGTCTGTTCTGGCGCCATTAGCTGGTCTACAAAACCTGACGTTGCAATTTATCCGGGAACCGCAGTCTCAGATAAAATCTTCCTCTCCACTCTCCATCCAAGGTCCTAGGAGCCGGTCGCTCAATACCCTAGAGCTTCTCTTGCCTTCCGAAGCAAACAGGTCTATGCTGGCTGCGCTCACAGTCATTTGCCTGTTTGATACAATCAATACGGTCGGCATGCAGGGGTTCAGTTCATTAAAACCGGATCTCAGGTCTACGGAAGGCCTTACCAAGGTTCACCAGCTCAGACTACAGTACTTGCCTCAAGCATGTGCTTCTGAAGAAATGAACATGTTCAGCGGAATTATGACTTCGGCACACCTACGCAGCCTATATCTAGAATGCCACAGTCCATCGTCTTGGGACGGATTGCGCATCCTCAGTCAGACATTTGTTAACCTCAAATTTGTTGACTTGGACCTGGTGCAACTGAAGAACTGTGTCAAAGGTATGTCTCAACTGCAATTGACTTTGCCATTTTCAGTCAACTCACCTTAGGTTGCAGACGTTGACTGGACGACGTTATGGAAAGCTCTTTCCTCATGTGCGCAGCTGCAACGACTTCGTATAAATCCGCCGTCCCTTGTGGATGCCTTAGTCACTGCGCCCTCTAAACTGTTCCAAACGTCATTGACCTCAGGCGGCTGTTGGGAGGTACTCCGGGAGCTTGTAATCGGACCAGGATATAGCCCGAGAGCCGAAAGCCTCCCAAACCGTATTAAGAGGATGCTTTGGGACTTACCAGGCATCGTTCGTCATGACTTGCGTGGGCCTTTCCCGAACCTGGATACCGTGACCGTGGAAGTGCCACTCAGCGCCCCTATGCAGAAACGTGATGAGAATGGCAGATCCAACGGTCTTGCGGCTCCAACAGTTGTCTCTTCTGAGCAAGTGAAGTCGGCGATTGTGAGGGCGTTACCATCGCTCCAAGAGGAGGGATTGTTGCGTATCACGGTAATAGGGCGGACATAGTGGACACGTCGAGACTTTTCGTAGGGCACTGTCAATCTGCCTGGCGAGACTATACATGTACTCAACAAAGGTCCATATGATGATATATCATTCTATTGTACTTCAGGCAAAATTAGTACGGTCTCGTTAAGCATATGGGATGCATACCAACAGACTGAAGATGTCCATCACCAACTGTATCTTCAATAGACTAGTCACGTTGTCCAACTCATACCTACTGGTGTTCTTGGGATCCGCCGCTCACAGCCCTCTGCAATAGCATGTCGTATACTACCTCGTAAAAGTGACAGCAGAAGGTATCCCCTTCTCTGTTACTGCTGTCCAGCAGCAGCTCTTCCGGCAGCAGCGTCGTGATCGCGATGCTTCAACTCCTCCTTTGCCGCTTCCATCTCGCCCTCTCTAGGAAACGACGAAAACCAGTCCTTGACTTTGTCAATGGGAGCCTCGAGCAGCCCGACAAGAGTCTCTGCTGGAGGTTTGTTCGGGATTGAGGGATGCCCTCTGTAACGCACGACGCATCAGTGCATCTCGTCAGATGGCTTGACGGCAAGGGTAGGACCCACCTTGTAGGTACGAGCTTCTTGGTCTTTTTGAAGCTCTGCGCAGCCTCCTTGCTCGACTCCTTGCTGATGACGGCCTCGAGCGCGGGGAGGTCCTTGATCTCCTCGTCGTCGTTGTGGTGGTGCAGCCGAGCCATCATGGTCTCGATGAGCTTATGATATTCCTCGGCTCCAGGCTGCAGAGACTCTAGCTTGTAGAGGTCCTGCTTCACTTGCTACGATTCGTGCGGCTCGTTAGAGGAGCTATCTGACGAACGAAGACGTAGACTGCGTACCGTGTGCTCTTCGCGGTCGTGGTCCGCGAGCTGCTTGCCCTTCTCGCCGAGGTGCTGCTCCATCAGAGGGTAAACCACAATCTCCTCTCCTACGGCGTGCCGCGCAATCTCCCATGTGAGCTGGCGCGTCCATCGGGCCTGCGCCTCGACGTCGCCGCGTTCCCGAGCGCGCTTGTACTGGTCGTGGTACTCGTACATCTGCATAGCCCGTCGGAGGTCAACACGGAGTCTGGCACGATGATGTGCGTCATGCTCACCTCCTCATGGTCCTCTTTGATCGATTCGAACAACGTCGACATGGTCCTAGAGTAAAGGAAGGAAGAATAATTGAGCAAGAGCCTTGCGGTGCGTGTTGTGGTTCGTGTCGTTGTGCGCAGGGCAAGCATGTGGACGAGACTGAGGCTTTTGAGCACAGTACTGTGAGGTTATAGAGCATCCAGGACGGTAGAGGCTCCAATGGCCCAGCCAATGGGGACATGGGGATAGGTTGTCGACGCGGCTATGACGTCGTTGGGAGTAAGTAAGTTTGGTGAAGTCGCGATCGAGATCTCATCGGGAAGCTACCGCTGTCCGAGTTTGGAAGCCAATCAACCACTGCCCGACACTCCACACTGTACTTTCGTTCTCGGACTCTCACGTCTGGAAGCAGTCCATGACCTAGCTCAATCGTCGGAGTATGTTAGGTGGTAGGACGTCAAAACATCGTTACGCCCATCCCCATGCTCTGAAAATATTCCGGCATGTCTACAGGTAGCAGTGGAAGAGGTCTCAGACAATCCTTAACCAGAGCTTCTATCTGGCTGTTCTGATCCCTTGAACCTCGGAGTACATCGCTTACAATGATTGACTGCTCCCACCCCACGGCCCATCTGCCCTTGGGAAGGAGGGGAACGCGGTACCATTACGGCAAAGTACTGTGAAGGACACGTCTTCCCGCTTCCTCGTCACATCTACATGCTTCGTCCTGCTTGCAGGCCTTTTTGCGCCATGGAGCGCTTCCACAGACTGCGTCTTGGAGCCTTGCAAATCATGCAATTCATCGATGGTCGGAAGGATCAAGGCCTCGGACTTCGATCTTGTACTCGGCAAATGTGCGGTACAGTCTCCTACAGAACTCCACGTGCACTAGTGTAGTACCATGGCACCCTCTGTCAGCTAGCTAGAGGTTTCTGTATCGTTAGAGGGATGGGGGTAGCGTATGCGTATGCTGAGGGAAAGACCCCGGTCGTCATGCGTCTAACCTCAGTTTGAGCGCATCCGGGGAAGGCGCCCAATATCCGAACAGAACGTGCCTCGAGCATCATCTTCCAGTCGTGCTGCACATCGCCGACCACGACGAGCCCCCGTTCCAGAGCTCGTCGGAACCATCACCATGCCCCCACCTCGCAGCGCCGCTCCCTCAGAGACCCCCACCCGATATACACGCACGTCGACGCGTTCAACGGCGGCCGGTTCGTCGTCCACGGGGATCATCAAGCCGCGTTCGTACTCGACCGCATCCCTCGCCAGCAACGTCAGCGGGGTCACCACCATCGTACCCGACCGACGGAGTGTGAACGGCTCCCCCAAGGATGCCAGCGCGGCCCCCCGCTCGCCAAATGCGACTCCAGTCCCCCCGTCCCAGGCTGCCCAGCCCCCGAGTCTGGCGAGGAGACTGAGCTCGGCCGCTGCGAAGGCCCCACGCAGAATCTCGATGCCTACCCCTCCCACGTCGTTCCTCGACCCTAGTCTATCTACCTCTAGTGTGTCGTCGTCGCTGAGCAAGTCCACCACGACCCCGTCGCGTCAGAACAGCGTGCCGATGCCGCGCAAGGGCCCCTCCGCCCCCTCAGTCGCCGTCTCGCGTCGCAGCAGCGTGCGCTCGTCCGCCGTCTCCCTCTACACGTCCGAGTCGGACACGCAGGTGAACCCCAAGGTCCCTGCGACGCCCCGCACGCGTGCCATGTCCACGCCGTTCGCGCAGCCGAACGGGAAGTCGCCCGCCAAGTCCCCGGTGCGGTCCCCTGGGCTTGCAGCGAGCAAGGGCTCTCTGTCCCCGTCCGAGGACACGAAGACCACGGCTACGCTGGTGACCCCGAAGAACACGCCCTCGAAGCCGTCGCCGAAGGTCACGCCGAGCAAGGCTGCGACGCCCGGCAAGGCGAGCACCCCCGGGAGGACCGTCAGGAACAGCCCGAGCGTCGCCGCTCGCAACCGGCAGTCGGTCGGGAGCATGGAGTCGCCCTCGATCATGCTCACGTCCGAAGACGAGCCGTTCTGGGAGGGGGACGGGGACGACATGACGCTGGAGATGATCACGGACGTGAACGACGGCGAGGTGGACGAGGACGTACGTGTTCCTACCTCTTCTCGCGCACCCTCCCCGTGTGCCCTCTCACTCACTCACGCGTCCGTCGCTAGATGCAAAATGCGCTCGACGGCGTCAACGGCCTGCACATGCGCAAGCTCCTGCACTACAAGCGGCTGCTCGAGCGCGCGCAGGCGTCGTCGGCGGCGCAGCTGCACGCGCTGCAGGCCGAGGTGCGCATGTTGCGCGAACGCGAGCGGCAGCGGGAGGCGGGCGGCGCTGTGGTCGACCCGAGCGACGACAGCTACTGCGTGTGCGGGGGGAAGAAGCAGAAGGGGTACTGGAGCGGGTACCGGGGCAGCGAGGACGACGGGATCGGGGGCGAGGTCGACCTCGCGACGGTCCTGAGGGGAGACGGGAGCGGGGGGTTCAACGAGATCGAGGTGCGGAGGGTCGTGCGGGCGTTGAGCAGGGACGACCGTATGCGATTGTGAGTGCCTCGCTGTCCTTCTGGAGAGGAGATGCTCGTGCTCACAGCACGCTAGAATCGCGATCATCTTGGACTCGTGTATGCCCGGGGACATCCGCCTGCAGATTCTTCTGCTGGAGAAGTACGCGAAGTCGACGTTCGACATCGTTGGGAACCTCGCGCCCGACCTTGCGCTCAAGGTGTTCAGGTACCTCACCGTCAGGGAGCTGCTCGCCGTCGAGCCCGTGTCCAAGAAGTGGCAGGAGGTGGTGCACCTGCCTGCGCTTTGGCGATATCATTGCCTGCGCATCACCGCCATGGATCCTATTCCCCTCAAGCCGCCTGCAAAGCCGGAAGGATGGTGCGTGCATGTTTGTTACTCGTTGTCGTCTTCTCACTGCATTCGGTTCAGGGAGCCCCTGTATCGCTCGCTTCATCACCGCGAGTCCAACTTCCGCAATGGTCTCGCGCAGAGCGTCCGCTTCCTTAATGGCCACACCAACTACTGCACGACGTTGTTGCTGCGGGGCAAGCGTCTCATCAGCGGCTCTTACGACGAGACGATCCGGTTCTGGGACATCGAGACCGGCGAGATGAAGAAGTGCCTGCAGGTCAAGAAGCCTGTCAGTTGCGTCGACTTCCTTGCCGACGAGGGTACGTTATGCAGCATATCTGGTGACTCTCTAAGCACATACTCATTAGGCGGTCTGCAGAGGTCTTCGTCGTCGGCTTCCACGACGTTGGGTACGTATCTCGCAACGTACCTCGCGTATACGCTGCTCATCGAGGCGCTCTAGACGCGTCCACCTCTTCTCTTCACTCACTTTCACCCCTCTCCAGCAGCTCGCCGGCCACCTCAACGGCATCCGCGCCGTCGCGCTCTCGTCGAAGAACCTCGTCTCCGCCGGGGCCGATAAGGCGCTCGTGTGCTGGGACTGGCGCGCGGGCACGAAGATCGTGCGGTTCGGCCAGCAGACGACGGTCAATATTGGTGTGCAGATTATCGGTTCTGGTGGGTCCCGCGGGGAGGACGAGGGCGAAAGGGTCGTCAGCGTGACTATCGATGGGATCGTCCGTGTGTTTTCGATCAGTGAGTCGATTACATTCGATGCAGTGAGTGTACCGGGATTTCTGACGGCGTATGGTTTGTAGAGAGGAGAGAAATGGTCTCGCAGTTCAAGTTGAGCGAGCTGGGCGGTGGGGACCTTGTTCTCAACGCCAAGTTGGCGCAAGTCGGTCGTGCCCCGGACAACATGCTCCAGTACGTCACTTTCAACGTCAGACTTTGTATAGAAGCTGATGTCGAATTTCTAGATGGTTTGCCGCGAAGGGTACTCAAATGACGGTACGTGCAGAGCAACGTCGAACTATTTCAATGCCTGACGAGAGCTATAGTGTGCGACGAAGTCCGTCATCCTCCACCTTCAATGGACGGAGGAAGACGAGAGCCCCACCACGTCTGCGGCTCAAGACCCGACGCGACCCACTACGCCCCTCACTCCAGGCGCGCTCAGCCCGGGGGCCGCTCCGCGCTTGCGTACTATATCCTCCCTTTCGCGCTCGACCTCCTCGATCTCTACGCCTCAGCGGCGCGGCTCTCTGATGGGCGCAAAGAGTCCTCTCGGGACGCCTGCAAGCGCCAGCGCGAAGGGCCGCCTCTCGCTCAACATCTCCAACGGGCCCATGACGCCTGTGTCCATGATAGGCTCTCCTCGCACCGGCACACCTGTCTCTGCCTTCGGACAGTCGCCCTTCGCACTCCGTTTCGGGCGTGCGGCTGTTTTGACTGCCCCTCCGAAGCTAGTCGCCGTCGTGGAGACCCCCGACGTCGCGATCGGCGCAGTCGACCCCCGCAAGAGGCGCGTCGTCACCGCCACCCGGTTCAGTACTCGCGCAGGAGCGACACGTACGCTGTACATGTCTCAGCACCGCGACAAGGAGGAGGTTGCGAAGGAGGAAGAGGAGGACAGCGAGGAAAGTGACGGGCAGAAATCGGATGGTCCGCGCACGCCGTCGCCTGAGGTGGACTTCGACACGGATATCCTCCCTGTTACTGGCGCCTGGGGCGCGCTCGCGAATGCCGGTGCCGCGTCTGCTATGGGTGTGAAGGGCGTGCTTGGGCAGCTGCCAAAGAAGTTCGAGGGGTTGGCGACTCCGGAGAAGAACCCCATGTCGATGCAGCTGAGCCATGAGGAGGTCGTTGTTGGATGTGCTGACGGGACGATCTAGTGCGTTCCCTCTCTTGCTCTCTCTATGTGAATGTGTTTCTGATCCCATCTCCTAGCGTGATGAGCTTCGTTGGCTACGATTACCAGAAGCAGAAGGAGCGGCAGCCGAGTGAGGAGTGGACCTCTCTCACCGAAGAGGAGCTACCCAATGCAGGCGACTTTTAACGATATGTTTGGTTCCTGGATCGCGACCTCTGGCCTCAGACCACAACCCTATTCTTTTTCGGATATTGCAGACTATCTTCGTCCACTCATCTCTCCGACTTGACGACTTTCCCGTTCAGCTTTCGCTTCCAGGACCCGTCGCTTTGCCGAAACAGCACTTAACAATCGAAAACCATCATCACAGAAATCCGTCCGTATTGTATTCCAGTGTCGTCCCCCGTCAGCTCGTCAATCGTACACACGTTCGCTTTGATTATGTTCCATTGCAGTACCTTAGCATCTCCTAGTCCCTTCAAATTCTCCAGGTTGTTTAGATGTCATGGAACCGAGGCTACGTACCTTGGTCAGTATTAGTCTCTTTCACGGATGCGTGCACGTGTTGGTGTTGGTGAAGTGCACTTCTTCGATGGAGAATTAGTTGATCCACCATTGAGGACTTGTTTCGACGGCCGCATGCTCACTGACATCTGATGAGAAATCGACGGGCCGGGATTAGGCTTCCGCTATAAGCTGGAGGGGACTGTCGTCATCGAAGCATGCCACGACCTCCCACAAGCACGCTATGATTGACACCGTCTGACTGGTGCGCTCTCACATGGCAGGTCGCTGACTATAGACTGCCCTATTCCACTATGAATGTCTTCTCCCCCCTTCTCTTCCTGCTTAACTATCTGAATATCAAGGATCGCGATGCCTTGGGCCCGTATCCAGTTGAATGACGGTAAGTCGTGCGACCTGCCGGGAGATCAGATGCTAACAACGCATGGGTCAATGCAGGAACCAGCATTCCCACTCTCGCATACGGTACGGGACGTCTGAAGAACGGGGATAGTGTTGTTGGCTGGGTCAAGCAGGCAATCACTGCAGGATTCGTCCACCTCGGTGAGCAACACCAGCGCAGACACGTGCACAGCAGTACGGACTCGGGGAAGTAATCCCGTTCAGACGTTGCGCAGGCTTACGCGAACGAAGAGGAGACTGGTAAGGCTATCAGCGAGAGCGGCGTGCCGCGGGAGAGCCTCTATATCACGACGAAGTTCTCGGGGAGAGACAACCTGACCATCCTGGAGGCTGCCCAGCAGAGCATCAAGAAGGTAAGAGCACTGTTCAAGCGCCAAGCTCAGGCAGTTTGTGGAGACTGTTGCTCACTGGGACGTTTTTGATAAGCTGGGTGTCGATCATGTTGACTTGTATCTCATCCACCACCCTCGGTTTGCTACGCCAGATATTCCAACTGCCTGGGCACAGCTGGAGAAGCTCAAGGCAGATGGTCTGACTAAGTGCGTTCGCGGCCATCCCTCGTGCACCGCACTCCTGAACCGTAAGTCGATCAACTTACTTTCCACAGGAGCCTTGGCGTCAGCAACTTCAACGAGGAAGAGCTGCAAGCCATCTTAGACGTTGCGAAGGTCAAGCCAGTAGCCAATCAAGTGCGTCGTCACCACCCATTCTCTCAGTAATGGACCCGATACGCTCACAATGTGCTCTTACGAATCTCTAGATTATGGTGCACCCGTACAACCTGGCAGCTCAGCTCCCAGTAATCGAGTTCGGGAACAAGCATGGCATTGTGACCGAGGGTTACAGCCCACTCCAGTCGCTTAGGAGCACCCCCGGTGGCCCCGTCGACAAACCAGTGAACGATATCGCCGCGAGGCTGAGCGCGACGCCAGAGCAAGTCCTGCTCGCGTGGGCCAAGTCCAAGAACATCGTCGTGATCACATCTAGCAGGGACCACGGGCGTGTGGTCTCCTTCCTCGGTGCTGGGGACCTCGGTCAGTGCTCGTGTCGCGTCGTGCATTTCATGCATTTCTTACATTATATGGTGTATGGTGACTTTGTAGAGCTCACTGCGGAGGACATTGCTGCGATCGACGAGGCGGGGAACAAGGGCGCACTCTGGTCTCGGGCATGTTCCAAGGCTGGAACGGTGCTGCCATGGGAAGAAGGAAAGTTATACGACGCGTGATCACCGCTGTCGGACTCGCTATTAGAGTGGTAGCTACGACATTTCTGAACAATATGGAAGAATGTTACGAGACTTGGATCAGTATGGCCGTGCTTATTGGCCAGTCGCTAGTACTAAGGCGACACTAGTAGTATCACTCTGAGATCCTTATTCAACTTGAATATGCTCGCAGCAGCGTTATCGAGGGAGTCTGTCAGGTGACCGTGTAAGTAGACGCGATAAGTAAGCGGCCGAGAGGGGAGTGCCTGGGGAGCATCGCACGGCAACTCGACATCGTTCATGCGCATGGCGTCCATGGCGCAATGCCCTTCTCCCACCGCCATATATATCTTTTCCGTTTTCGCAAGCCGCTGCCCCGTGCACGTCTGCTCCTAGCTTCCCTGCGTCCGCGTTGACCCCGCACCACCACTTGCAATGCCTTGGGACCTCATCAAGCTCAACGACGGTCAGTGCAGTACTCGCTTGCGCCGTGGGACGATTTAGTTGACGCATAGCTCCGTATCGGATGGACAGGAACTAGCATTCCCAGTATTGCGTACGGGACGTGGACGCTGGGGAACGGCGACAGTACGACCGAATGGGTTGACCAAGCCATCTCTGTAGGCTTCAGCCACGTTGGTGTGTACCTGCACATAATCAGAGAGGGCCAAGTCTTGATTCGACTGCTTCTGTGTCCTCAGACACCGCCCAGGCATACGGGAATGAGCAAGAAGCAGGAAAGGCTATCCGTGAGAGCGGCCTCGCGCGCGAGGACATATACGTTACCACCAAGTTCTCCGGAAGAGACGGCCTCAGCATCGAGGACTCTATCCAAAACAGCTTGAAGAACGTGCGCACACCATGCTTTGACTTATAGCGGTGCAGATCGTTGCTCACGCGACTGACTCTCCCATACTAGCTGGGAATCAAGTATGTGGACTTGTACCTGATACATCATCCCCGCCTCGCCACCCCGGATATCCCGACGGCATGGGCGAAGTTGGAGCAGCTCCAGAAGGACGGTCTCGCAAAGTAAGCTCTACCACTATCCGCCCCTTCTTTTGCTGTACCCTTGTTCACGCCCGCACGTCTGTAGGAGCATTGGCGTCAGCAACTTCGGTATACCTGAGCTCACAATCCTCCTCAACTCTGCCAAGATCAAGCCCGTCGCGAACCAGGTGCGTCCCATCCCCCCGCTCTTCCGCCTTTCCCTCCCACGCCCGTTACTGACATCGACCACCCGGACGTCACCCGCGGCAGATCCTCTTTCACCCTTACGTTCTCGACCGGCAGCTGCCCATCGTCGAGTTCGGCAACGCCCACGGCATCGTCAGCGAAGGCTACTCGACGCTCATCCCGCTCACGCACCAGCCGGGCGGGCCGGTCGACGCGCCGGTGAACGCGATCGCGAAGCGCCTCAACGCGAAGCCGGAGCAGGTTCTGCTCGCTTGGGCGAAGGCCAAGGGCGTCGTCGTCGTGACGTCGAGCACGAAGAAGGAGCGGCTGGAGGGATACTTGGCCGCTGGGGACCTCCGTGAGCGCTGAGTTTTTCTAGGGTGAAGTCGAAGGGAGGCTGACCGGTCACCGCTTCTGGGAACGCGCATAGCTCTCACCGTGGAGGACATAGAGAGCATTGACGAGGCCGGGAAGAAGGGGGCGAAGGGGCTGGCCGTGCGCACGTTCGTGCGCCGCGCTGCGGTTGTCGCGCTTGCTGCTGCTGTCGGGTTCGGGGTCGCTTCGTTTCTGGGCATCGACATCTTGTGAAGCCGATCACACCTTCCTGGAGACTCTGACATTCCCATTCGTCGAGTATTTCGCTTAGTGTAAGCTTGAATATGTAGCAATGAAAATGTCAGATTATGGAGCCTGTCTCACGAGCCAGTCTATGCCTTGAACAGAATAACTCGATGGGAAGGATCAAATTGCATGCGACTTTATGTCTTCACTGGAAGCACCAGTCTACCGAGGTAAAGTCATCAACCTTGACATCGTCGACAACCTCCAACGACTCTGTGTTTCAAGACTGTATGGCTGACTGAGTTTCCTTCGAGGTGCTCTATCTGAAGTACATTTCCCTAGCGCGATGCCTCGCATTGACTTATGATCTAGACCCCGATGAGCTCAGCGACAGGAAAACTTGATATACTCATGTCGGTGGCCCGTTACAACCTGCTGACAAGAGGAGAGAGAGGCGCCAGTATGGTTCGAGAGTAGGTCCGAGTTGATCAGACTCGGGGTTGCCCAATCGACGGGACGACCCATAGAGACACATAATGGGGAGAGAGTGAAGAATGATGTGTGGTGCTGACTAGAAATCTTTTCAGAGGCCGACTGTCAACAATATCACGACACGCTGTTCCAGCGGGGAATCAACGCCTTATGAGAGGGAAAAGGTTCGCTCGAGGGGCTCGATTAAACGCTGAGCAGAAAACGTACATAACCTGGGTTTACATACGGGAATCTGGGGGCTAAGGAGTGTGAAATGTGCTCGTGATAGGACACAGGTCGGGATTCGGGGGAGGGGGGCTCTGTAGGACCGACATACAGTAAAGACAGGCTACGGTGGGCGACAGAAACGAGTTAGGGGAAGGGGAGGGAGATAGTCGGGCAATAGCGTGGTGAGTTCGAATGAGGTAGCGAGCCCCCAGCATTACAGATGGGAACAGCAAGCAACGCTTTGCAGCACCCCTCCGGAGGCTGATCGTTCGCTAGGTGCATTTCTTTGCTACCTGGCGTTGAATCGACCGAAGAAGCCCACATCTCATTAGAGTACGACGTATGGTTCAGCAGCAAAAACTCACTTCAGGCCAGAGGGTTAACATAGGCTGCGATCCCCTCATAAGTGTATCCCAGGTAGTTAACGGCATTGTCCTTCTCGATCTCGCTGGTCGTGTAGAAGTGGTCGGGGGCCGCGTAGCTGTACATCCTATACAGCGGTACGGTACCGCACAACTGCGTCTCGTACACGTAAGCGGCGATGCCCTCCTCGTTGTACCCGCCGATCTGGACATCGCCGTCGCGCTCGCTGGCCGAGGTAGTGTAGAGGTGGTCCTCCCTGGAAGGGCTCCAGAGGCGGTAGAGCGGAACTGTGATCGGGGTCTGGTAGGGATGAACAAACGCCGCGATGCCCTCTGCATAGTAGGACCCTTCGGTCACCGAATTGTACATCTCAGTGGCGTTGGTCGTGTAGAAGTGGTCCGTAGTGGAGGGGCTGTAGGCACGGAGGAGAGGAACGGTAGGAAAGTCGCAAGTGCTACGCTGTTTGTATGCATTAGGGTGATGGGACTGAATGGAGTGCACTGCTGCACGTACTTGGAGACGGGCCACCTCAGGCTCAGGAAGAGCGGTGACACTTAGCAAGACGGTGGAGATGAAGGCGGCGGCTAAAGTGAACTTCATGGTAACTGTTAAGAACGACTGAGAGGGATGAAGTGAGAGTATTGAGTATACTGGTCTGTCTCGGAAGCCAAAGGCGAGGCTTATATAGCTTCCTGGCAAGACCTGGGCAGATGCTACGCCAGGAGTTGCGGATGTGCCAAAGAGCTTCGGCCGGTATTTGTTTGTCCATTCCTCATCGACGCTACATCCGATGTCATCGCCACAGAAGCTAGTCTCTCTATCGTATGTTTGTCCTCAGCCGAGGCCATCGGCGAACTATTTGACCTACTTTCAATGTCAGGCTGTCGTCAGTCGTCATGCTATGAAGCTGAAAGAACCACTTGGAGCCATTATGTTTGGATGAGAGGAGAGCTTACATGAGGAGGACCGAAGTTGAATGTGGGACGATGGGACACTGTCGGTGGGTGCGTCGCTCTCGATTAACCACGCTCATTGCTGAATGAAAGTTGGAGCTGACTTTAAACACATAACAGGGATGACGTGGGGAACCTGCGAGGGTTGACACGTTGACATCTTCTGACGCTAGGGCTGTCATTTCAGTGTTCGTCGACCGGATGGCTTGGTAGAATGCGAGGCAGACTGATATGCCCGGTGGCGCAACGTGGAGTCAGCATTGATTGGGCAATTCCAACGTAGACGAACGCACGCAGTTCGGAGCGTCCACAGATGAAGGAACTATACCATATCAATATCGGGTTGAAGGATCAAACCATTCAGCATCAAGATATTACAGTGGTAGAGGTAAACATGACACTCAAGGCAGAGCGGGACAGGGTAATAGACGACGGAAGCAGAGAATGGTAGAAGGGCAAGAGAAAACTATGTTCAGAGGCTGATAGACCGCAGGTAGGAGAGAACAAGGACGCGGTCTGCAGAGAGGTTGACAGGGCATAGGAACGTAGCCTAGACTACAACGACGGTTATAACCCGAAGGGCAATCTCCGGACAGGCACGGTAGGCATGATCACGTGCCAGTGGAGGAGGAAAGGGAGGTTTTAAACCATCATGGCCCGACCCCCCTTCGGCTTATGACCGTCATTGTAGGTTACTCGAGGAACAGAGTAATACACTGATTATGTCAGTTAATCGTGATAGCAAGTTCATGCCTGAACAAAGTAACTCAATGGTCGGAAGGATTCGATTACATGCAACTTATGTCTTCATTGAAAGCACTAGTCTACCGAGGTAAAGTCATCAATCATGACATCGTCAACACCCTCTAATAAGTCTGTCTTCCAAAACTGTGTGGCTGACTGAAGCTCCTTCGTAGCACGACGGGCACCGCCTCGAATCGTTCTTTGTGAAAGGGTTGTAGAATTTCTGGGCAAGGACAACTTTCCCATTGCCGACCCTTCAGCGCCCTTTGGCGCGTCTCGGCAAAGGGACAAGTTAGGATCGTCCCGAAAACAGACCTTCGTTCCACGCGAAGGGATTCTGAGCGCTGCCCGTCGTGTAGCCCGAGCGCCGCGATGGCCAAAATTGGGGAGAGACGCTCTATCCTGAAATGCTTTTCCCTAGGGCGATGCTCGCATCAACTTTGGATCTAGACCGTGATGACTTCAGCGACTGGCAAGCTCGATATGCTGATGTCGATGATTACTGAAACACGCTAACAAGAGGAGTGAGTGGTGTTGAGAAGAAGAGAGACTGACTGTTAACAATATTACGACGCGCTGTCCCAGAGGGTAGGTGACGCCTCATGAGAGAGAAGAGATTCGCTCGATTGGCCGCCGAGCGCAAAGCGTACATGGTCTGAGTTTTGATTTATATACGGGAACCTGGGGGCTAAGGAATGTGAGATGTGCTCGCGATTGAACACAGGTCGGGATTCGGGAGGGCTCCGCAGGACCGACATACAGTAATGACAGGCTACGGTGGGGGATAGAGACGGGGGAGGGGAGCGGGGAAGATATTCGGGCAAAAGCACGGTCACTTCGACTGAGGTAGGGCGCCCCTAGCGTTACAAATGAAAACGGCAACCCTTCACGTAGCCTGATCGTTTGCTACGGCGCATTTCTTTGGCAGGTAGAATGGAAGGAAATGGACCTAAGGAATCCGGATCTCGTTAGAGTGCGATGTATGGTTTGGCAGCAAACACTCACATCAGGGCTAAAGGTTGACATAGGCCGCGATCCCCTCGTCACGGTATCTCAGGTTGGTGACGGCATTGTCCTTCTCCGTCGCGTTCGTCGTGTAGAAGTGGTCCGTGACCGACGGGCTGTACATCCTATATAGCGGCACCGTACCGAACGCCTGCGTCTCGTACACGTAAGCGACGATTCCCTCGTCACGGTATCTCAGGTTGTTGACGGCATTGTCCTTTTCCGTCGCGTTCGTCGTGTAGAAGTGGTCCGTAACCGAAGGGCTGTAGAGGCGGTAGAGCGGTATGGTAATCGGGGTCTGGTCGGAATGAACCGTCGCTGCGTTGTTTTCTTGACGGTAGCCCAGGTTAGTCACCGCATTCTTCATCTCAGTGGCGTTAGTGGTGTAGAAGTGGTCCATAGCGGAGGGGCTGTAAGCACGGAGGAGAGGAAGGGCAGGAAAGCCAGCAGTGGTGCGACGCTAGTTCGTGTGCATCAGTCTGATAGGACTGAATGGGGTGTACTGCTGCACGTACCTTAAGGTGGAGACGGGCCGCCTCAGGCTCAGCAAGAGCGGTGACACTGAGGAGGACGGTGGAGATGAAGGTGGCGGTGAGAGTGAACTTCATGGTGACGGTTGAGAACGATTCAGAGGGCTGTAGTGAGAGTATTGAGTGTACTGGTCTGCGTCAGAAGCCAAAGGCGACGCTCATATAGCTTCCTGGCAAGACCTGTACAGATGCTGCGCCAAGACTCCGGTCTGTGAGTGGTCCCCGGCGTGAGCGGTTCCTCCGAAGCTCGTCTCTCCATCGAACCTTTGTCTCAAGCCTAGAACGTCTGTGAATTTGTTGACCTACTTCATATGTCAAGCTGTGGTCAGTCGTCCAACTACGAAGCTGGAAGAATCACTTGAATCATTAGATTGTAGGAGAGTAGAACTTACCTGAGGAGGACCGGAGTTGGTTGTGGGACTATGGGACTGTCCATGGATGCGTCGTTCTCGGTTCACCACGCCCATTACTGATTTGAAGTTGGAGCTGGCATTGGACGCATGACAGGGAAGACGTGGGGAGTCTGCGAGGGTTGACATGTTGACATTTTCCCGCGCCAGGGCTGTAATTTCGGTGTTCATCGACCTGATGAGCAGCTTCGGTGCGATCCAATTTGGAGTGCCCTCCGATGAATGAACTACATATACCATATTGGGATGAAGGATCAAACCACTGAGCTTGAAGATATCACTTTGATAGATGTACACATGATAATCAAGGCGGAGCGGGACAAGATGATAGACGACGGAAGCAGAGAAGGGCAGAAGGGATACAGAAAAACATGTTCAGAGGCTGAAGCCTGATAGGGCAGGGCAACACAAGGGCGCGGTCAGAGGTCGATAGGGCATAAGAGCAGAATA